AATCACTCATGACTGAGAAATGAGTGTAGACTCAACATACATGTTGATCGATATTTTCATTGACTTAAATGAGTAGGGTAAAAGTGAAAGAATGAAGACTTTTTATGACTTTATTCTTCAATCATGAAAGTGATTTCTTTGTTGAATTAAATAATCATTTTTGAACACAGGAATAATATTTTCTTGTTTTTGTGCAATTTATAATGTAACAGCTAGAGACACAACCCACTTTTATATTTAGTCTTCATGTTAACGTTTTCTACCACATTAAATCCAGGCAATCAACAAAACTGTAAATTAAGCCTTGATTCATAGCATTTGCTGATTTTCATTACGTAAATACCCAAAGCATAGACAGTTTCAAGCTGTGAATTTGTCCTCACTGAACATGGAATTGGGAAGGAATGCACAGAACTTACCATTATATAGTATTTATCATACAGATAATACAGATGTAAATAACTTGAACAGCATAGTTGATAGTTGGTAGTAAAATATATTTAGGGAGTGATGAATTTTGAGTGTTTATTACCTTTGAGTCTTAAAATTTTTAACTGTAAGTTTATATAATTAAAAATAGTAGCTGTGTTTAAAACCTAGTTGGACAAATTTCTAAAACTTTAACACTTGGCTCGTGGTATTCAGTACTGGCAGCTCCAGTACACTACTGGATCTGACCACAGGCAGGAGAATTCGTATTTCATAGCCACTATTTTTTTGATAGCTCTCTAAAGCACAGCACCTATACTCTGTAGAAGGATGATTTGATCTTGTGATCTATTGCTTATATCCTTGCATAAAAAAATAAACGGGCTCTTTTCTCATAGGTCCCATGATGATTTTAGATTATTTTCTTGAAATGGGAAAAAAATTGACAATTCTGTTTTGAAAAAAAAATTTTCAGCCAAAATAGAAAGAACCATGTCCACTAAAGTGTATTTTCCAAATATTTTTCCTATTTGCAGAATTAGGTACTTTATGACAGACTACATAAAAACACAGCAGAAAACACCATAAAAGCTTGTTTTATCAATCCTCTTTTCTGCCCTTTGCATGTATATTAGTTTATTCTCAGTGACTGACTCAAGATTTCAAGTCCTGGGTTGAGAAGGGTTTGCTTTGCCTTCCTTTATCTTTTCTAAACCTGCCGTACAAAAATATTCGTAGACCATTTTCCTCCTTGATTCTATTTATTATTATCATCTTCCCCCTAATTTTTGAAGAACGTATCTATAAACTCTAACATACTTATATTAATTTCTTTAAACATCAAGAACCCTCATTATAGTTAGTTTTCTAATAAAATAACTAATCTTTGGATCATAGGCTTATAAAAGTCTATTTTTTGAAAGTCCTGGCCAAGTCTATTGTTTGATACTTCTGGCCATTCTAAACATGAACCCCAATTCTTGCCTAAATGACTGTGTATTGCAAAGTCATTTTATTCCCAGAGCAAGAAATAGCAAGAGTAACCATGTAATTTTTAGAGCATCTTTATTCTCAACTGTAACAGGTGCTTCAATTCCTGAAGATATTATCGGTTGAATTTCAAGTGATTTTGCTGCTTTGAACCTTCAACTTTTTCAACAATTCACTTCTGGCAAGGTTTTTATCTAAATATATAATCTGTGTGACTGAGTATATGCATCAATGATGTTGAAGTAATGGTACATTAATCACATCCCGAATAATAAGTTTATTGTGCAGAAAACCAAATTTGAAGCATGGACTTCTATATTTGTTCAGAAAGAATGTTACCACATTTGCAGTCTAACCATTCATAAACATGACTATTTTCTTTTGATTGTTTATCATACCCAAACCAGGATATTCTAATTTAAATGTACAAATACCATGTATGGAAATTGGATGAACTAGAAAGTGATCAGTTTGGGATAACAAATACATATTTTTTAATGACTATTTTCTTACTTTTTCAAAGCAATGATTACAGTAGATCCTTTTGGGGCAAAATCTATTTTTAGGTTGATACTAATTCTAAAAAACATTAGGATTCTACATAATGAAAATGAGATAGGTATTCATTGGATGAAGAGAATGGATTTATTATTTTTGTGATTCCAATGACCTATGTTAAGTTTAGCCTAAAGTTGTCTCCTTACACATTTTAAGTATGGCCTGAAGATTTCTCTGTACATAGTGAACTGTGACCTAACTGGATATGTAAACTGACTGTGGCCTACTCTTGTGACAGTCATTGAGTTTTGGAGAGCCAGAAGTGGCCAACTGTTCAAACTGTGTTTAAATAAGGCAAATGCTGAGCAATAACCAATCCAGCTGTTTCCGCATTGCACTTCCATTTTCTGTCTGTCACTTTCCTTTTTCTGTCCATAAATTTGCTTTGATCACATGGCAGCACTGGAGTCTTTCTGAATCTATTCTGGTTTGGGAGCTCTGTGATTCATGAATCACTTTTTGCTCAATTAAACTTTATTAAGTTCAATTTATCTAAAGTTTTTCTTGTAACACCTATGAAATATTTATTTGACTCATGACTATTTGAAACTCTTAGTACAGTTTGTGTGTAATTTATAACATTTACATAACAATGAGGTTGTTGAAAAAATTGTAGGATTTTTGAAAAAAATAAAACAAAAATCTTTTATGAACTGTCCTATGGTCAGTCAGGATACTGTATACTTTCAAGCTATTTTCACATATACAGGAAAGAAACAATGGAGATTACTGATCAAAATAAAGAACCTGTCACTGCATGGATTTAATATTAATGATGGAATTATTTTAACTATATCTTTATGGTAGAAAAATGGACTTAGCCATTTTTTTAAGAAATTAGATATGAAAATATGATAAAAGTGAAAAATATTTTTTAGTTACCTCTGTTAAAAGACAAACTTGGGCTCATTAAAATTTTAAAGAATATATTTGAGGGAATAGCAATTCATAAATCGGGCAGCACCAAACCACAGCAGTTTGGGCTTCAATGTGAAAAGGGGAGGGGAAAACTTTTATAAGATGTTTGTGAAAGCAAGACAAATAAAATATTTAGGAAGGATTGCTCTTGCAGGCCCTGGGAAATAGTTGAAAAACTCCAAAGACAAAGGACATAATCTCTTGGGAACTCTGGGACCTGATTCCCCCTATACTACCACAGCTGATGTGTTCTTGAAAGTGCCACCTCCTGGCAGGAGGCCAGCCAACACATAACTAGTACAGTGAACAAAACTACAAGGACGGACCCTCACAGTTTATTTCACTCCCCTGCCACCTCTGCTGGAGCAGGTACTGCTATCCACAGCTGACAGATCTGAAAATGGTTCATATTCCAGGAATTTGTACAGACATCTCCTGCCCCAAGTACCAGCCAAGAACCTGGTAGCTCCACTGAATGGCTAGATCTAGAAGAGAGATAACAACCACCGCAGTTCAGCTCCCAGGAAGTCATATTCCTAGGAGATGGGGAGAGCACTACATCAAGGGAGCACTCCATGGGACAACATAGTCTGAAGAGCAGCCCTTGAGCCCCAGATCTTACCTCTGACATAGTCTACATGAATGAGAAAAAAAGAAATAGAAAAATAATTCTGATAGTATAACAAAATAAGATTTTTTAGTGTCCCCCCCAAAAGATCACAGCAGCTCACCAGCAGTGGATCCAAACTAAGAAGAAATCCCTGAATTGGCAGAAAAACAGAATTTATAAGGTGAATTATTAGGCTAATAAAGGAGGTACCAGGAAAAATGTGAAGTCCAACTTAATGAAATTTAAAAAGCATACAAGATATGAAGGGAAAAGCCTTCAGTGAAATCGATAGCATAAATAAAAAGCAATCACAACTTCTGGAAATGAACAACACACTTAGAGAAATGCAAAATATGCTTCAGAGTGTCAGCAATAGAATTGAATAGCAGAAGAAAGAACTTCAGAGCTTGAAGATAAGATTTTTGAACTGACCCAATACAACAACAAAGATAAAAAGAATTTTAAAAATGAACAAAGCCTCTGAGAAGTTCGGAAATATGTTAAATGACCATGCCTAAGAATAATTGGCATTTCTAAAGAAGAAGGGAAATCTAATAGTTTGGAAACATTTAAGGGAATAGTCAAGTAAACTTCACCAGCCTTGCTAGAGATCTGTTAGGTTGGTGCAAATGTAATTGAAGTTTTGCCATTAATTTCAGTGGCAGAAAATGTAATCACTTTTAATAGTACTATCTAATAGACATCCAAATACAAGAAGCTCAAAGAACACCTGGAAAGTTTATCATGAAAATATCTCACCTAGGCCAGGCGTGGTGGCTCACACCTGTAATCCCAGCACTTTGGGAGGCCGAGGCGGGTGGATCATGAGGTCAAGAGATCGAGACCATCCTGGTCAACACGGTGAAACCCCGTCTCTACTAAAAACTACAAAAAATTAGCTGGGCATGGTGGCGCGTGCCTGTAATCCCAGCTACTCAGGAGGCTGAGGCAGGAGAATTGCCTGAACCCAGGAGGCGGAGGTTGCGGTGAGCCGAGATCGCGCCATTGCACTCCAGCCTGGGTAACAAGAGCGAAACTCTGTCTCAAAAAAAAAAAAAAAAGAAAGAAAAAAAGAAAAGATCTTCACCTAAGCACACAGTCATCAGGTTATCTAAAGTCAAGATGAAGGAAAAAACCTTAGGAGTTGTGAGGCAAAAGCACTGGGTAACCTATAAAGGAAACCTACCAGATTAACAGAAGATTTCTCAGCAGAAATCCAACAAGCTAGAAGGGATTGGGGCCCTATCTTCAGCCTCCTTAAACAAAACTATTATCGGCCAAGAATGTTGTATCTAGTGAAATTAAGTTTCATAAATGAAGGAAAGATACAGTCTTTTCCAGACAAACAAATGCTAAAAGAATTCGCCACTACCAAGCCAGCACTACAGGAACTGCTAAAAGGAGCTCTAAGTCATCAAAATATATCAAATATAAATCTATACAAAATATAAATCTTCAAAATATACCAAAATAGAACTTCCTTAAAGCATAAATCTCACAGGACCTATATAACAACACAATGAAAAAAAAAAAGCCAAGGTATTCAGGCAACAAATAGCATGATTAATAGAATATTACCTCACATGTCAATAGTAACATTGAATGTTAATGACCTAAATGCTCCACTTAAAGGTAACAGGCAGAATGAATAAGAATTTACCAACCAAGTATCTGCTGTCTTCAAGAGACTCACCTAACACATAAGGAGTCACATAAACTTAAGGTAAAGGGATGGAAAAAGATATTCCATGCAAATGGACACCAAAAGCAATCAAGAGTAGCTATTCTTATATCAGACAAAACAAACTTTAAAGCAACAGCTATTAAAAAAGACAAAGATGGACATTATATAATGATGAAAGATCCTCTCCAACAGGAAAATATCACAATCCTAAACATACATGCTCCTAACATTGAAACTCCCAAATTTATAAGACAATTACTGCTAGATCTAAGATATGAGATGGAGAGCAACACAATGATAGTGGGGGACTTTAATACACCACAGATAGCATGAGACAGGTCATCAAGATATAATGTCAACAACAACAAAAATAGATTTAAACTATACTCTAGAACAAATGGACTTAAAAGGCGTTAACAGGGCATTCTTCCCAACAACTGGAGAGTGTATATTCTATTCATAAACACATGAAACATTCTCCAAGGTACTCCATATGATAGGCCACAAAACAAGTCTCAATAAATTTAAGAAAATTGAAATTCTGTCAGGTACTCTTTTGGACTACAGTGGAATAAAACTGAAAATCAACTCCAAAAAGAACCCTCAAAAGCATGGTAATACATAGAAATTAAATAACCTGCTCATGAATGATCATTGGGTCAACAATAAAATCAAAATGGAAATTAAAAAATTATTTGAACTGAATGATAACAGTGACAAAACCTATCAAAACCTCTGGGATATGGCAAAGACTGTGCTAAGAGGAAATTTCATAAGCTTAAATGCCTCATAAAAGAGTCTGAAAGATCACAAATAGGCAACCTAAAGTCATACCTCAAGAAACTATAGAAACAAGAACAAAGCAAGCCCAAGCCTAGCAGAAGAAAAGAAATAACAAGGATTACAGCAGAACTAAATGAAATTGAAACAAAAAATACAAAATATAAAGAAACAAAAAGCTGGTTCTTTGAAAAGATAAATACAACTGATAGACCATTAGCAAGATCAACCAAGAAAAGAAGAGACAAGATCCAAATAAGCTTAATTAGAAACAAAATGGGAGATGTTACTGATACTACAGAAATGATTATCAAAGCTATTATGAACACCTTTTTGCACATAAAATAGAAAACCTAGAGGAGGTGGATACATTTCTGGAAATATGCAATCCTCGTAGATAAAATCATACAGAAACTGAAACTCTGAACAGACCAATAATAAGCAGTGAGATTGAAATGGGTAATAAAAAAGCTGCCGACAACAATAACAACAGAAATCCAGGACCAGAGAGATTCACAGCTCACTTCTATCTGACATTCAGATGAGAATTGGAACTAATCCTAATTGGCACTATTCTACAACATAAAGAGGGAATTCCCCCTAAATCATTCTATGAAGCCAGTATATCCTAATACCAAAAATAGGAAAGGAGATTAAAAAGGAAAACTAAAGACAAATATTGCACATGTACAAAAATCCTTTACAAAATATGAGCTAACTGAATCCAACAACATTTCAAAAAGATAAGTCACCATGATTAAATAGGTTTCCTAACAGGGATGCAGGGATGATTTAATATATGCAAATCAATAAAGGTGATACACTACATAAAGAGAATTTAAAACAAAAATCACATTATCTCAGTAGAAGCCTGAAAAGCATTTGAAAAAATCCAGCTTCATTTTATGATTAAAACCCTCAGCAAAATCAGCATAGAAGGGACATACCTTAAAGTAATAAAAGCTACACAGGACATGAACTCATCGTTTTTTACAGCTACATAGTATTCCATGGTGTATATATGCCATATTTTTTTTATCCATTCTATGTTTGGTGGCCATTTGAGTTGGTTCCAGGTCTTTGCTATTGTAAACTGTGCCACAATGAACATAGGTGTGCATGTGTCTTTATAATAGAATGATTGATAATCCTTTGGGTATATACCCAGTAATGAGATTGCTGGGTCAAGTGGAATTTCTATTTCTAGGTCCTTGAGGAATGGCCACACTGACTTCCACAATGGTTGAACTAATTTACACTCCCACCAACAGTGTAAAAGTGTTCCTGTTTCTCTTCATCCTGTCCAGCATCTGTTGTCTCAAGATTTTTTGGTGATCACCATTCTAAGTGGCATGATATGGTATCTCAGTGTGGATTTGATTTGCATTTCTCTAATGACCAGTGATGATGAGCATTTTTTCATATGTTTGTGGGCCTCATATATGTCTTCTTTCGAAAAGTGTCTATTCATATCCTTCGCCCAGTTATGAATGGGTTTGTTTATTTTGTAAATCTGTTTTAGTTTCTTGTATATTCCTGATATTAACCCTTTGTCAGATGGGTAGATTGCAACATTTTTTCTCATTCTGTTGGTTGCCAGTTCACTCTGATGATTGTTTCTTTTGCTGTGAGGAAGCTCTGGAGTTTAATTGGATCCCATTTATCTATTTTGGCTTTTGTTGCCAGTGCTTTTGGTGTTTTAGTCATGAAGTTCTTGTCTAGGCCTATGTCCTGAATGGTTTTGTGTAGGTGTTCCTCAAGCGTTTTTATGGTTTTAGGTCTTATGTTTAAGTCTTTAATGCATCTGGAGTTAATTTTAGTGTAAGGTATCAGGAAGGGGTCCAGTTTCTGCTTTCTGCAAATGGCTAGCCAGTTTTCCCAACAACATTTATTAGACAGGCAATCCTTTCCCCATTGCTTGTTTTTGTCAACTCCTAGTTAAATAAAAAATGAAAGGTATGCATAAAACCACTGCATAAGCACTATGTTCAACTGATGGAGAGAGAATTATAATTTGACCAAAATGATACAGTTTCCTGAAGAGAATTAGCAATGGAAAAAAAAGATAAACATTGTATTGATTTTACCAAAATAAATAAAAATCTAGGATGAGCATGGTGGCTGATGCCTGCAATTCTAGCACTTTGGGAGGCTGAGGTGGGAGTATTGATTGAGCCCAGTAGTTTGAGACCAGCCTGTGCAACACAGTGACACTCTGTCTCTATAAAAAGTACAAAAATTAGCCAGGTGTGGTGGCATGCACCTGTAGTCACAGCTACTCTAGAGGCTGAGGTGATAGAATCACTTGAATCAGGGAGGTTAAGGCTTCAGTTAGCTGTGATCATGCCACTACACTCTACCTGGGTGACAGAGCCAAGACCCTGTTTTAAACAACAACAACAAAAAAATCTAGAGTTACAGAGAACATTAAAGAGATTATCTGTAGTTTAATAAATAAGTGAATTTTGGGCCTAGAACCCAGAATTTGTATTAACTATGATAGAACTTAATGCATCTTAATAATTAGGATGATTGAAAATACAATATCTTGAGTTTATTGAGCACTGCCCATATTCTACAAATATATTGAATGTTCACATACTATAGGACAGACTGCTACTGATTTTCTCTTTTTCTTCAGTAAGATAAGTCGAATTTTCAAAAAATATCTAGGCATACTACCATTTAGCTAAAAGATAAGTAACTTCTCCCCCTCCTCTCCTACTTTGTTTTATGTGTAGATTATGTGATAAGTTTTGCTTGGTGAGAGGATATAAGGGTCTTGTGTGGGGTGTCCAAGAAATGTAATTTGCAGATAACTAACACTCTCTTTAGTCCGTTCCTTTTGCTGTCTGAGATGCAAAGTTTATGCCTCTAGTTTTAGCTGCTCCTTAGGATAATGAAATGACCATGAAAATAGAAGCTAAGTACTGTAGAGCAATGGTCCCCAACCTTTTTTGCACGAGGGACTGGTTTTGTGGAAGACAATTTTTGCATAGATTGAGGCTTGATGGGGGTAAGTTTCAGGCTGAAACTCCATCTCAGATCATGAGGAATCAGTTACATTCTCATAAGGGGAACACAACCTAGACCCCTCATATTCGCAGCGCACAGCACTCCTATGGGAATCTAATGCTACTGCTGATCTGACAGAAGGTGGAGCTCAGTCAGTAATTTTTACTCAACTGCAGTTCACCTTCTGTTGTGAAGCCGCATTCCTGATAGGCATGGACAAGACCTATAGACCTATACCAGCTTTTGGCCTGGGGATTAGGGACCCCTGCTGTAGAGCAACAAGAGAAACAGCCTAGCTTCCTGATACCGCGGAACCACCATACCATCTTGCTGACCTGTGGACTTCTTTCTCTGGGTCTTTGTATTTCACAGCTAAGCCAAACTGTCACCAGTACACATACACTAGATTAGCTCATTTAATTCTTACAAACAAGATAGGTATTCTTATTAGAATGCTCATTTTACAGATGAGGAAAGGGTTGCAGAGAAAGCTGAAGTAACAACATAAGGCCACATACCTCAATAGGAATTTAACATGGATATGAGCCTAGCCAATCCTCTTCTAGGGCCTCTGAACTATTGTCTTACATGAGAAACAAACAATAAGGTTCAGCTCAGCCTATCTGTAAAAAGCAGTGAGCATTCATGGTATACTAACGAAGTGACAGGTATATATTCTATGACATGTCCTATAATTTTAATGGAACTTTATAAACATGACCTAGTTATCTCATCTTCTAAGCACCAATATGAGAAATTGAGCCTTGGTGACTCTGAGAACTTAGAAAGATTTTAATGTTACGTAAAGCACAAGGGTCAGTTTGTAAAATATAATAAGAGCAAGAATTGTTCTCTTCAGAGTAATTAAAATAGCGTGGCTAATAAAAGCTCATCAGGAAAATTTGAAGTTATTAGTATTAGATGCTCAAGATACTTTTACCCCTAAAGTTCTTGGTAGGATGGCTTGTTTTTTAGAGTATAAAAATTGATAATGAGTTGACTGATAGCTGAAGGGAAGTATTTGGTCATAATGCTAAGCTATGTGATACCAGTTCAAAGAGGTGAGATGCTATATTTCTGGATGAAAAATTTGTTATTTGTCTCAAATACACTCTCTATTTGATCTGTTGTTTTTTGACCTCTTTTTTTTAACTGCTGCTTAACTCATTTCTTCAGATAATTCAGAGGCTACTTTCGATCTTGCTTTTTCCATACTTAGTTTTTCCTAAATAACATGGTTAAGTATTATCTCTGTACTCTTTGAAACCTAGTCTCTGTACTCTGAAACCTGAGGGTGTCCTAGGAGTTTCACATTTTGTAAGAATTATTTTGCTTAATTTGAAACCTTTATCAACGTATCTCTGCCATGTCTTTTTAAATTCATGGAGTTGTAATACTGCATTGCAGGTTTTATTATTCTCTGTTGTGGTTCCAAATATTAATCAAGGCTTCTTTGCTTCTCAGATATCTAGAGGTGATTAGTTTCAATCCCATTTCATTCCATGCCTAAGATATCCAAATTTCTCAGGATTACTATTCATCCCATTGGACTATGACTCTCATGCTCTTCTCTACTTCTCATTCTTATGTATACATAAGCTTATTCTTTATCATTTTCCTCAGTTTCCACCAGAAATACACTCATGCCACAAATTTTATGAATTATATTAACTGCGGATGAGAAAGCTAAGGGATGGCTGACAAGAGGCACTTTCTCGTGTAATTCTCAATTTGCTGGATTGCTTATATCTCTCATTCCTCCTTCTCCTCTGCTCCTCCTTCATACATTATCCTCTCCAGCTCTAACTTTTTCCCTCAGTTTTGCATAGAAATTTAGTTCTTAGCTCCTGAGGACACTTGCAATCCCAAACTCATCAAAGTACAGCAGAACAAAGAAACTGAATTATCAGAATTAATGTTCCTTAGAAAATACTTGATGTTATAAAAGAACTCTTTTTTTTGATAGAAGGATACTTTATTCCCCTATTTTATTTCTGTTTTGTGGGTAGTATTTAGCTAGTCTGGACCAGCTAAATACGAAGGGATGTGTTATCAGAGAATATGGTTAAGTATGCCCCAGGTAAACACCTGAATCCCCTATTGCATATGAAATTCTGAAGAAATAAAAGTACATTCAGTTCAGTTTAATAAATAATTTTATGCTCACATTGTGTGTTAAGCACTGGGAATGCAAAAATTATGAGAACATCCTTGACTTCAAAAAACTTCCAATCCAGGGAAGAGTCTAACAAAGAAACTAATCATATAGATACTTTACGTAAGAATAAATCTATTAAGTGAAGTGATAGAGATCTGATGAACTGAGACTGGTGTGAAGATTAAGGCAAAGTCTTCTGTGAGAGCCAAGCTGAGTCTGGAGGAAAGAACAGGGGTTACCTAGGCAAATAAATATTGGGGTTGGGGAATGAAGGGCATCCTAGACAATTAAAAGTGAGTGTACAATACATAAAGACCCAAGAAACATAATGGTGTGTGGAACACTCTAGCAAATTCAGTATTTTAAGGGTATAATTATATTGGGAACAATGGGAGGTGAACCCAGATTCAGGTGGTAGAATATACAGACTATCTGCAAAACAGCTCAAAGTTTATCTTGAAGGCCATGGTAAGCCATAGGAAAACTTTATAAATGTGGCTCTGAGTCATGATCAAATATTACTTTTTAGATATATACCTCTAGGAAAGACGAATATAAGATGGCCATAAAAGGCAAGGGCAACTGCAATAGTTAAGGTAAGAAGTGATAAGTACTCAAGTTAGAGAAGCAACAGACACAGTCACTAACTACAAAAGTCAAGACCATGTAATATACAATCCCAGGGAACACACCACGTGCATTGTGGTATAGCTGCAGAGAAAATGGAGTGGGGGGACATCAGGCAGTATTTGGGTAAAAATCAGCAGTCATTGGTGAGCAGTTAGTATGTGGATGGTGAGAGGAGGATTCTAGGGAGATTATGAGATTTCTGGTTTAGGGGAATGTAAAATTCTGAGGATTATGCTTCAATTTTCTGGCGAGTGTTTTTATGGACAGAAATGCCAATCACCCTGCCTTTAGCCTTGTAAACTGAATTATATATAAAAGAAAAAAATGGCTTTGGCTCTGGGTCCACAGAGTGAGGGAAATGGCTCAAAAAAAGTGAATAACTGGAATGTTATTGTACCTCTAGGCATCTTTCTGTTCTTTGGGTAATGTATTAGTTCAGTAGTTTCCAAACTTTGTAAATAGCTTACCAATGCAGGTAAAACATTTTCCAGCCTCCACTAACATTTGTAAATTGATTGATTTATAAATTATCTACATTTAACATTTTATCGATGTATTATCCATATACAAACTATACATATGTAAAATAAAATTTTTAAATAATGAGATAAAAAGTTATAATATTTATTCCATATCTAATGGATAATTTTGCCTTCACTTTGAAGGGTACTAAATCAGTCTGAAAAGTCTGTTCTATTCTGTGTGAGATCCTCAACAGTTATTACAGAATTTCTCTGCTATCTAAAATCTAGCCAAAATTGAACTTTCATCATATTCTCTCTTTCTCTCTCTCTCGTGCTCTTCTTTCTCTCTCATACTCTCTCTCTCTCTCCCCACCCCTTTCTCTCCCTCACCTCCCCCCTAAGAATAATTGTTTGATTGGTCAAAAAGAACAATCAATAGCAGCCAGGGGCTATTTTTAACAGTATTCTTCCTGTACTAGGAGAACGATAAAACTGACTCATATAATAAAAGTGGTGGCAGTTGTTTTTGACATGAACAATGAAGCTCTAAGACATGGTTCTTTCAGAACTCTAGTTCTGCATTCCTTTTCTCAGCTATGCTTGAGGGACCATAAATGTGCTGGTCAAAGATAAAGGTTTAGCAGTCTTAAATGAGGGAGTGCTATTGAACTCTGATAGTTTGCTCAGCCCTTCACAAGCTGAGGCCATATTGCCACTGATGAATATGATATTCCCATTGCAATATGTTTCTTTTTAGTTTAAGGGGTAGATCCCCTCCAGTTTGCATGGTACAGTGATTGGGATTGTTAGTAGAAAGGGAAGTTATAGAACAAATAGCATGGAAAATAACTAATTCCTGGCATCTAGGAGGGTATTAGAAGGAGTCAGCACAGTTGAATAGAGACTTTGTAGGGACCAGGAAGGGACACAGTTATTAATAGACCATGATACTATTAACAGAGGTAGGAGATACTGCAAGAGAATTAGGAAGGGCTAGAGAAGGGGAGTGGGACCAAGATGGGGAGAGTAGACAGCTGTTGGGTTCAAATAAGGGGTAATTTATCATCTGTTTGGAGTTGCAATTAAAGTTAGAGATCAAATGTAACTGAAACCCGTTGGGTCATTGTTTCCAGCTTGAGGCACTCGCATCCCTGTTCCTGCAATGAATCTCTATTTATTTTGAAGGCAGTCTGCTTGTTTGGGGATTGAACTTGAAGAAAGTTGGCAGAGGGAAGGCTACTAACAATTAACTTCTTATTACAGTTAAGATAATTGGAGTTGTCTCTAGAGAAAGGCATGTCTGTTGCAGAAAGCTGTTAAATTTT